AAGGGAATGGAGAGATCGACGAGGATGCTACACATCGTATTGGGGCGGGATGGATGAAATGGAGGCTCGCTTCAGGTTTTTTTTGTGATAAAAATGTTCCACCTAAACTTAAAGGTAAGTTTTATAGAGCGGTGGTCAGCCAGTCAAGAACTCCCATGTCCAACAGATGAAGGCAACTGAAATGAGGATGTTGAGATGCGTGCATACCAGACCGGATAGAATTAGAAATGAAGTTATACGGGATAAGGTGGGTGTGGCCCCTGTGGAGGACAAGATGCGGGAGGTGAGACTTACATGGTTCGGACATGTGAAGAGTAGAGACGCAGATGCTCCGATGAGGAGGTGTGAGAGGTCCCTGGAGGGCCTAAGGAGAGGTAGGGGTAGGCCGAAAAAGTATTGGGGAGAGGTGATTAGGCAAGATATGGCGTTGCTCCAGCTCACTGCGGACATGACCATGGATAGGAAGGTGTGGAGGTTGAGAATAAAGGTAAAGTGTTAGGATAGGTTGCCTAGCGTTGTCCTTGTCTGTAACAGTAGCTTTGGTACATGAGTTAGCGTTATTTATGTATTTTCATATACCTTGATTTATGAGATTACTTGTCATCACTTTCATTTCGGCCTTCTGATTACAATACTCATTTTTAGTTTTGTATCTTTGTATTTTTGCTTCAGTTTTATAACCGGTGTGATTGTTGCTGCCCTTCCTTTTATCTTCCCTAAACCGAGGGTCTTTCGGAAACAGCCTCTCTACCTTCTTGAAGGTAGGGGTAAGGTCTGCGTACATACTACCCTCCCTAGACCCCACTTGTGGGATTACACTGGGTCTGTTGTTATTGTTGTTGTTGTTATGTGGTGATTGAAAATAAAGATTGTTATACATAAATTACGTTAAAGGGCATTTTTGCCTCTAAATAGTTTAATCCCACATTGTTAATACATGTATACCTATACCACATCCTACTCCCCAAAAAATAATTCATAGATTCTCGTATAACACTATAACTTAATGTGGGCATTATGCAATACTGCAACCAAATGTTATGTTGCCGTGACTAATTTTTTTATGCAGCCAACCAGACACTGTATTATCTTATGGGGGTCTTTATGCTGAGACTAATTATTGCAATACATAAACCAAACGACCCCTTAGAGCATAACATCTACGGCTGTCCACTTCATAGAACATTCAGACATTCTCAAGTCAATATATTCAAGAACTTACAGCCTAGATCAAAAAGTAAAGACTGGAGTGTGTGATTAAAATGCATTTAACCAACAGCCTCCACTAAAGATAAACGCCTCTCACAAGGAAAAGGAATTCAACAGCTGACTCATACTTTATATAATTCAAACACAAAATAACCCATGAATTTCTCAATCCTATAGGAAGCACCATCAATGCACTCTCTTTTAATCAAAAATATCAGGGCAGGCTAAATCTTTGGTGTACCTTTTCTCCTCTTGAAGTGGAACACTGGACAAACACTTAATAATCTAAAACATATGGAGTTAAATAATCAGGTACCCTTAAAGTATTAATTCAACCTAGAACGTCTTAATTCTTTACTCACTAGACAAAAGAAGCTCGGCACTAAAAGATAAAGTAACAACAATAGTGATGACATTAGGTAATGATGATGATATGAGTTGAGCTAATGAAAGAAATGAGGATTAATGTCGCCGACCCCAAATGGTTTGGAATTGAGGCATAGTTGTTGTTGTTGTAATAGTGATGCCATTATCCACACAAAACATAAAGAGACAGTAACTTGGAAATAGATCATCTCACTCAGAAACCATATCTTCAATTATCCTGACTATGATAAATAGAACTAAAAACAAGTGTATTAATTTAAAAAACCAAAACATTCTCGAAATACAAGAAGAAAAGGCCTACAATTACTAACCTCCAGATCTCCAGACTCGAATCGTCTAGCGAAATCCTCAGCCACCATTGATGCAGCAGCAGCTTTCTTCTGCAAAGCAGCACGCTTAGTCTGTGCTGAAGCAATAGCAGCTGCCTCCTCTCCATCCCCACCACCACCCCCATCACCTACCGCTGCCGGCTGGGGAGGAGGCGGAGCAACAACAATCTTGGGTACCTTAACCTGAATTGTGGCACCTTCTTTAGCCTTGAGCAACCACGGGTCCTTAAGAAACTCCTCAACCCTAACCACATCTTCCAGGAACTCATTTTTACCCTTTGGAAACCCAAGTGGACAGTAACAGATCCTTCGACTACACCAAAAAATAACCAAAACCCACAAGCAAAATTAGAAACACTAAACTGAGTCAGCAAAATACAAAGAAACAACAAAAGATCACAAAATAAAGAACCCCATTTGGGTTCCATCGATAAATAGAGAGAGAGATAACAGATCTTCCCGCTACACCACAAAATAGCGAAACCCCAACAAACCCCAGGTAAACAACTAAAAAACATAAAACAGAGAAACCCATATGGTATTCTTGGATAATAAGAGAGAGAGAGTAGAGAGAATAAGTGACAAAAAGAGGAAGAGAGAAAAATAAACAAAATTATGTTCAAAAAATAGGAAAATAAAAGAATGAGGGGGAAGTTTGTAGTACCAGGTAATTGGGCAAGCTACGTGAAAGGCCATACGCGAGATAAAGATTTTGGTTGTATGAGGAATTTTTGAAGAGTTTAAATTGGGAAAAGCCCTTTTGGGGGAAAAGAGAGAGATTAAGGAAGGGGTTTGGGTGCGGGGTGTTGGGGATATACAGAAGTTTATAAGGGGAGGAAAAATTTCAAATTTGGCCCATTGAAGTTTTGAAATATGTTAATAGAATCCATGATATTTGTGGATTAGTGGAATTAAGGGGAAAAGCTCCTAAGAGATAAAACTTTGAGAAAGACACCTATGGTCCCTTATGTTTGTGCTTAATATGTCCATAAAATACAAGACCGGTTGTAAATAGTCCTTTTTCTAAATTATTCCTGAATAGTCTTCTATATTTGTGGAAGTGTGTCGCTTTTAATCTAATCTAAATAAGGCCCTCGTTATGTGAAATAAGTATTGTTTGTGATCGAGCTCAAATTAAACTTACTTTAACCTTTTACATCATTAATTTCAAATCAAATACAACACATTCGTTCAAATTGATAACAGTCCAATAAAGGCATATGGTTTAAAAAGAAAAACAAAAGACATAACACAAATATTTGAAGCTTTCATCGAGAAATGTTTATATTCAGTTGTTCAAATAATTAATAATAGGAATTTGTTGCATAATCAACGTTCTGATGAGATTAGAGAAAATGTACGGTATTGATGAATGATTCTCTGAGAGCTTGATAGCTTTGTGATCAATTACAAGAAGAGTTTGAGCCGGCATCCATGATTAAAATGGATTAATATAATAACTTCCTTTGGTGCACAAAATACTAGAAATCTATAAATCTTTCATTTGATGGGTGGCTAATTTCCCTTGTGTACAACAACTTCATACTTTGAAATGTTTCTTTTTATCTATATAGATTTCATTTATAATGTCGTCTTTTACATGTGTGTCATACTTATCCATTCATCATCTCATTGTATTATATAGCTTAGTTTCATCTCAACATCTTTTTGGGTCTTTAGTGACTCAATCTTTCTATTGTTATTACTTTCACTTACTATTCCAGATATATATAAGTGGTGCATGCAAATGCTTCCTGCAATCCTTATAAGACTACACAATATTTTGAACTACTTAAGTTTTAAAATTCATCGCATATATTGGTAGATTATATTTCATTCTCGTAAATTTACGATTTAGCATTTCTATAGTTAATGAACTATGATAGTTAATCCTTGTGGTGCATGCATACTTGGTATTGCTTGATTCCATAAAATATATTGAGTGGTTCCTTCACGTAGTATTGCAAATATTGTTCTACACCTTATCATTTATAAGAAAATTTAGAAACATACTTATTGTCAATTAAATCTATAATCATAACTATTTGATTCACATTCATCGATATGGTATTCTATTGCTACAAAGGTTTGATTGACAACTAATAGGCTGGTAGGATTTACTTACTAATGTTGTTATTCAATTCAATCAGATGTTAGTTTTTTTTTTTTTTAACAACTCATAAAGCTTGTCCGTAACTCTCGACCTTGGCATCATTTCCCTTGGAATTATGCATGGTACAAAATACGTTTGCGATTTCATTTAACGAAAACAACAATGTTTAGCATCTGTGCCTAAAAAAATAAAAAAGTCGTGCATGATATATATTGCAAATTTTATTTCTAAAGCAAATAAAAGTTTTCATTGTTTTAAATTACAATACATAACAAATATTTGTCGGTAGTAGCACATTATATATATATATATATATAAAATCAATAATAATAGTAATATTACAATTCTTACCTTAATACTTTTGCCCAGTTAAAAGAAAAACTTTCTACTATTTACTTATGTAAAAATATAAGACAAAATATTCTTTAATAGTTTGGGCATGCTAATACTCCCATCATGCTGGCTATCCTAATCGTATCTACTTTTTTTTTTGATTATTATTTGTGGTTGTAGAACACAACCATTTAGGTTTGGATGAAATTATCACCACGTTAATTGTGTTTTTCTTTTTTGCAGAGGAATGAAGAAGCTAGCAATATTAACTATTTCAAATAACCAAAAGGCTACCAAAAAATATTACCTCGGCAATCTTTTCATTTTTCCAATAAAATAAAATAAAAATGTATAGAATGTCACGTATAACACATTAGCAACAACAACAACTCATCACAATATTAAAAAAATGATAAAAGTTTTAATCGTACCACCAACAATATTTATATACAATGATTAGATGATGAGATTACTTGTATGGTTACTATTATCCTATGCACTATATTATTCAAATTTTGTAAATTCAAAATGTGTAATATTAGTATTTGTTTTTTTGTGGTCTTGTGTTGTCCCACCACAGCGTAGCCGTTACATAATTTTGCTAAACTAGAGAACGAACGTGAGTCCCATGCAAAACTTAGGGAGGTCAGTTCGTTCATGTTGAAATAGGGGAAAGAAAATACCCATTTATTTCTCTCTCATTCTTGTTGCCATTTGAGGGAAGTTGGAGATCTGTGAGAATTCTCCCGATCTCCCTCTTTCCTCTGGCAATCAATTCCCTTCTCTTATTTCTTCCGTTTACCATACTCAGTTCTTTAATCTCTCATTTTTACCAATCTTGAATTGGCCCAAGATTCTTTTTTTTGTGGGTGTTTCTTGAAATTTGAATCAAGAACAGGAAAACCCATATCGTGTTTTCTATAATTTTGGAGAAAAAGAGGGAATATTTTTTTGTGGGAATTTGTTGAAAAATTGGAAAAAATGGGTATTTCTCATAGAATAATGCCAGCCTGTGATCAACTTTGTGTGTGTTGTCCGGCAATGCGGACAAGGTCCCGCCAACCTGTTAAGCGTTATAAGAAGTTGATCTCTGATAGCTTTCCTCGATCTCCGGTTAGTCTTCTTTAACATTCCATCAATTTTTCATTTTTTTTTTGATTGAATTGAATTGAATTTGTTTGTCTCCAATTATGTTAATTTGTTTATTTTGAAATGAGTGTTATGAAGTTTGAGAGATACCTGAATTGGTAGTGGCCCCACAGAGCCGAGTGTATATTGTAAACAACCTCTCTACCTTCAAGTTAGGGGTATAGTTTGCGTACGCACTGACCTCTCCAGACCCCATTTGTACGATTATACTGGGTTTGTCCTTGTTGTTGTTGGTAGTGGCCCCACAGAAACATCGTTCACGCTACATCCTGAAAATGTTCCCAGCTTTATGTTTCCTTACATTAAGAAATTAGAAGCCTTTTAATTGTACAAATCATATTCTGTTAGCCAAATCAGCTACTGTCTCTATGTCCATGAGTATCAATAATATAGAAATCGGCCAGAAGCCTGATGCAGGTGTAGGATTCTTCCTGAAAGAAAAGACTCTTCTTTTTCTTCTCCTTTAGTGTTTGAACACCTTTTCATTGAAGATTTTTGCAGCACGAGCATTCACGACTTAAATCTTGATGCTGCTCGCTAATCTAGCCGCTTCTTTGTTAATGTAAACAGTTCATTGATTTTGTACCTCTGAACCTTGGAGCTCCTACCTGATTCTGATGGCAATATTAAATTTTATTTCCTAGGGTCCAAAAGTAGCATTTTGTACATTTATAAGCTAACAATGCTCTTGCTTTTTAATTATACACAATTTGCTCGCTTATATATATTCAGCCAAAATGGTAAATTACATGGTAAAAGGTGTGAGAGGTCATTAATTGCCCTAACAGTTGTAGTTCTGGCTTAGTTGAAATGAAATTTAAGCTGGCGTGGATAACAAAACATGGCCCCCGCTCGACTGGAGAGATAAAGAAACTTTAGCGCAGGTAGGTGTTTATGTTGTTCATTTAGAGTATGAATCTTTTGGGTCTATCGGAAACAACCTCTCTACCTCACCAGGTAGGGGTAAGGCCTGCGTACACACTACCCTCCCCAAACCCCACTTGTGAGATTATACTGGGTATGTTGCTGTTATTGTTGTTGAATCTTTTGGGATTTTATTCCATCAATGGTAGCGGTGAGATGTACTATTGAAATTTACACTTGAGCTTCTTGAATGATTCGAGGTAGTATGTAACCTCCTTAACATTTACTATGCTTCCTTTACTCACTGGCCGCATTATAAGTTGATCTGTTATTGGTTGAAAGGACTAAGTTTCTTCAAGAACTAAGTTATCTTTTATTTTTGACAGGATGGAGAACCTAATGATCGTATGATCAACAAATTGTGTGAATATGCTTCGAAAAATCCACTTCGTATACCGAAGGTTGTGTTATTGAGATATTGAACAAGCTTGATAAGATGGAATTATTCTGCTTTCTGAGTTCTACTTTCTGATTTTTATAAATTTTTGTATTCATTTCTTGTTCCTTTTTCTCCTTATAAGCATTTAGATGGTATGCCTTACAACCTTGTCATATTTGGATGTCATATTTGGATTCTCAAAGATTGTTAAGATTTTTGATATCCTCTAAGATTATATGTTTACATTATTTAAAGCTTGGGAAGAGCTGATGAACTTCAATCTATGGACAGATAACAAGTGTTCTTGAGCAAAGGTGCTACCGGGAACTAAGAAACGAGAATATTGGGTCTGTAAAGGTAGTCATGTGTATCTACCGGAAGTTGCTTACATCCTGTAAGCAACAAATGTAAGTCCCTTGCTCTTATTACATTGATGGGGGAGGTTTCTGATCAAGAAAAGGATAAAGTCGTGAATATGTACTAATCTTTCCTCAAAGAATATTATCAAATAGCAACTTATGCACTTTACTGAGGGAAAGTGAGGAAAAAGAGGTGAAAATGAAAATTTGAATGTATTCCTCATCTGCTACTGTTGCTTCTTCCACTTCCCATCAACAAAATTTTAGGAAATGAGGGCGATCATGTACAAAATTTCAAAACTTTATCCTTCTTGAGAGATATGCACAGTTCCATGATATATTTGTTTTTTTCACTGTTTTCCATTAGCCTTTTAATCTATTGGAGATCATTGCTTTCTTGCTAAACAATGGTGTTTGCTGATTTTCCTACTGTTTTTTGTACAACGAATCCTGAACTATTAGATACGCACTGCAGGCCACTATTTGCTGGCAGCTTTCTCAGTATAATACACATTTTGCTGGATCAGACGAGGCACGATGAAATGCGCATAGTTGGATGCCAAGCTCTTTTTGACTTCATAATTAACCAGGTCAATAGCTCCTTCTTTTGGCTTTACCCTATAGTGGTGATAGACTGATAGTTATCTTGAAGATAAAGATCTGCAAGTTCTCCTTAACAGTTAAAGCTTATATTCCAATTTGACTGTGCATTGTGCAGAGGGATTCTACATATATGTTTAATTTTGAAGGCCTGATTCCTAAAATCTGTCTTCTTGCTCAAGAGATGGGTGAGGATGAAAGAGTGCTTAAATTGCGCTGCGCTGGTCTTCAAGCCCTGTCTGCTATGGTAAACTGCCAAATAAATTTCCTGTTGAGTTCCTTATGCTCTTTCTGATGTATGAACTTTGTTTGATGAAAACCACATTTGTGGAGATACACTCGTGAACACTGAGGTTTCTATGAAAGCATGTGCTAGGACATTGACATAGATTTTTGACGATTTTAGGTTTGTCAACATTCCGCATTTGTTGTATATTTGTGCTCCATAAACTAGGAACCGAAGTTTATAAGAAGTGTCTTATTGAAGAACAACTTCATTATTCGCTCTCTAACTTGAAAATGATTCCTCCCAAAGATTATGCAGAGAAGTCTTTGAATTAGTTCCTACACCTGCACCATTGAATTCTGTGAATTGCTCCCCTACTGCTTCCTCTGCTGATTATAAATACTGCTTTGATAAGTAAGTTGCTTATGAGTTCTTTCATGGTGAGTTTCACTTTAGTGCGTGGGTTATCTGATTGGTGATGTGGTTTCTCAAAGTAAATAAATCCCTAAATTTGGAAGCTATGTTGCTTGGACTCTCCGAAATTGTTGCCGGATGCGTGTCGGATCCTTCAAAGTAGAGCATTTTTCGAGAATCTGACCTGGGTGCGGTAATATTTTGGAGAGTCTACGCAATGTAATTTGGAAGTATATAAGATTGATGTAGCTAATAATGGGGGTTGATCCCCCACATGAATGGTGGATTTCTGAAAATTTTAAGTTCCTTAGTTCAAATCTAAGTTAGAAAGTGACTTTTGGATTTGAAACTAATTTGTAACTTTAAAGTAAACTTTACTGGTGTGTTTGGTATAATGGAAAATGTTTTTCTGGATAAGTCATTTCTGGTGTTTGCTAAGAACATGTAGGTAGGATTATTTGGCGTGTAAGGATAGTGTCTATGCCATGAACATGTTGGAAAGACCATTTGGCATGTTGAGTGAAGTATATGTTTTTTCAGTCTAGATGTATTGGACATTTTGTGTAACAGCCCAGCCCGCTAGTGATATTGTCCGCTTTGGGCCTAGGCCCTCACGGGTTTAAAACGCGTCACTAGGGTTTAAGGCTTGTCAACTTATATACCCAGCATCCTTCTTGTGTTTTACCGATGTGGGACTCCGTCTAAAGTGTGGGGTGTTACATGCACCCCCTCTTATGGATTCAGCGTCCTCGCTGAGTTTTGCCCCACCGCATGGGATTCGCCTAGATTCGGCACTGAGGTTTGCCCCGCCTAACTGGGATTTGCCTAAACTTAGTTGAACTCTGACCCACAATCGGCAAGGCTGACATAAGAGTGGCTCTGATACCATCTGTAACAGCCCAGCCCGCTAGTGATATTGTCCGCTCTAGGCCTAGGCCCTCACGGGTTTAAAACGCTTCACTAGGGTCTAAGGCTTGTCAACTTATATACCTAACATCCCTCTTGTATTTTGCCGATGTGGGACTCCGTCTAAAGTCTAGGGTGTTACATTTTGCTATCAATCACTGTGGGCCAGATGGATAGATTCTAAGAATGTGTTATGCTGGCAGTGTTGTTTTGTATTTGGCTAGAATATAATGGAAGGACTTTTAATATCAATACAATTCGTAGAACTCCTATATCATGTACGGCTATTGCTTTTAATATCACCTTGCCTTGACTGATCCACATTCAGATAGCAATCGTTGCTTCCCATCTTCAGCTTCTTTGCTTTGGAGGACTCTTGCCCTTTGCTATTCTGTCCAAACCTTCTATACCTATAAACAAAAGGTCCTCTTACTGACTCTTGAAGTTGGAAAGAAGCTGTGAGAAGGCACGAGAGAAAATATGTTATTGATATTGGATGATAAATACAATACAAGAGGT